TAGTACACACATCCGATAAATAAATCCACAAATCATCTGTACTATGCGTGTCCACATATAATATTTTTAAGTGCACAATATACAATAGAATAATTATAACAATTATAACACATTGCAATTACAACCGGCGTATGTGCGTATGTACACACCACACACATATGTAAAAATAAACAGCTGCCGATCCGTACTCCAATTACACGTTTTTATGCAATTGCACACATTCCCATACAATTACTCTTGTTCCGAGACGCACCAATAAAAACACAACAATCATAATTAATAGATTAATAATAATACTAATTTATTGTAAATAAACAAAAACACTACACATTAACTTCGAAGTTCTACATTTGTCAGCGGTGTGTACTTAGCCACAATAGTGGGTATTTTATGAGTACCACAAAAAAGTAAAAATAAACCAGCCGTTACCGTATTCATAGACTAATATAATAATAAAATTATCGAAACGAGCATCGAAATTCTTTATTATTATTTCCCTTGTTTAATAAATAATCGTATTTTTTTTTAAATCAAATCAAATAAATTTATTAATTAAATATCAATCGAATTATAAACCCGATTATTTACCTGTATCGGCATTCCAGTGTTTCTTTGTTTTAAGCATCGCAACCTCTACTACTAGAAGCGAGCACCTTTGTTTTCCTACCCAATCGCTTCCGCCTAGTATGCCAACTGGCAAAGGGGAAGAATCAAAGCATCGTTTAGCAGTTCCGTCCGCAAGCACCTCCAGAACTTCTCCGTCTCCAACAGCAGCCCTTAGAGTCGAAAGGGAAACATCGTCCCGGACTAAAAGCGAATCATCCGCGTCCACGCCAAGGGGAACTGTTCAGGCACCTCTTAGTTCGAGGCCAAGTCCACTGATAAAAATCAGTCGCCTGCCATCCAAAGCTAAAAGCGAAACATCCCTGACCACTGCAGTCGGACGCACTAAGGCAACCATTAGCACAAGATCTAGTCCGATTTCCACGCGAGCTAATACAAAAACGGCCCAAAATATGACAGACGCGGCCTTAATCAAGTTTATTGCGGTCACTGATCGGCTAAGTCAGTTTGAGGCAAAAATAAACACTCCTGGAGGCTCTGACCCGTCTCTCTATACGTGCCAGGTCCGTCGGGACCAAGTGCGAGCCTTGTGGGACAAGGTTGAAAAAGAGTACGAGGTCGGCTCAACAATAATCTCGGAAGCCGGTTCAATGGAAACCATTTCAGTTATGCAGTCCAAGTACGACTATTGTTACATGGTATATGAGAGATGCGCCGCTAAACTTAGCGAGCAAATCGATACCGCTAACGCCCAAAATAGACCATCCGCTCAGTCCACCATTCCGACATATGTTCCCACCGGGTGTCGCTTACCTCCTTGCGACACTGAAATCTTCAGCGGAGATTACATACGTTGGCCCACATTTCGAGACCTCTTTACCGCAATTTACATAAATAATCCTAGGTTATCAGAGGTCGAGAAATTATTCCATCTCAATGCGAAAACCAGCGGTGAGGCTCAGGCGATTGTATCGAAGTCACCTTTGACTAACGATGGCTTCCGATCAGCCTGGGCCAATCTGACTGAGCGTTTTGAGAACCGAAAATTGTTAGTCAACAGCCAGCTCAAGATTCTTTTCAACCTGCAGCCAATCTCCCAAGAGTCTGGGACGGCAATTAAGGAACTTCAGAGCACCATTCAAGGTTGCTTAACAGCTCTGGAGTTATCCGAAATCAACATAGAAAACTGGGACTGTATCCTCGTGTTCCTATGTTCCTCCAAATTACCCAAATTAACACTCTCCTTATGGGAACAGTCCATCTCCAGAAAAAACGACATCTCATCTTGGCTTGAGATGAACGCCTTTCTCTTAGAACGCTATCGCACTCTCGAAGCGATAGAAGAGCTTAAGCCAAGCGCAAATACTCCAGCGCACTCCAGAATTGTTCGAACAGAACCTCCTACCACTAGAAGGCTTAACTCATTTGAGAATAAGGTCGCTAACAAGCCGCAAGCCTGCAAATTGTGCTCCAGGGAGAATCACCCTATCCGTCTGTGCCCACGATTTCTCCAAATGCCCGTCAGCGAACGGGCAACTTACATCAAACAGCAAAAACTATGTTTAAACTGTTTCGCTAGGGGTCATCAGTTAAGGGATTGCACAAGTGCTCACAATTGTTTTACGTGCAAAGGTCGTCACAATACGCTCTTGCATCGTAGTGACACTCCACAATTGAGCCCTACGGTAGTCTCCATGCCACAAGCAACAGCTCCCTCCAATCAATCCATACAGTCCACTCCATCCCAACAAACGAATGTTCACAATTATGTTGCAATTAACACCCACGGTGTTCTCCTAAGCACGGCTGTTATATATGTTCGCCATTTGGGTGTAAATTATACAGCTCGTGCACTGATCGACTCGGGATCAGAGGCAACATTTATTTCCGAGCGACTCTTCCACCTGATAAAGCTGCCGTATAAATCCGTACAGGCACAAGTATCGGGATTAAATCAAGCTGTTGCAGCCCAGCCTCGCAAGCTCTGCCATTTTAATATTGGCTCTCCTTCCAAGCCTCGTATCCAAATCGAAGCATCAGCCTACGTCCTACCACATTTGGCAGGGAATCTACCATCATGTTCGATCCCACAAAGTTTATTGACAACCCTGCCAAAACTCCAGTTAGCGGACCCTAATTTCCACAAGAGTTCGCAGATAGATGTGCTGATTGGCGCTGATATCCTACCGTCCATACTAACGGGCGGCTCCCATCCTAATATATGTGGCACGTTGCTGGGCCAGGAAACTATTTTCGGGTGGATTTTAACAGGCCCAGTTTCAAAGACCGCATCCACCACAATCTCGTCATTCTCGACTCGAATATCTGTCTCTCAAGAAGAGCAGTTAGACGTCATTCTCACAAAATTTTGGGAGGTGGAGGACATTCCAGTCAAACTGGTAAAGAGCTCCGACTCTTTTTGTGAGAGTAATTTCATCCGAACAACAACAAGGAACGAGAATGGCAGATATGTAGTCACCCTACCTTTCCAAGAACCTAATCACATAGACTTAGGACATTCAAGATCTATCGCACTAGCTCAGTTTCTAAAGAACGAGAATCGTTTAAAAAGAAACCCTCCTTTGAAAGAGCAGTACGACTCCGTGATTCGGGAGTACTTCGACTTAGGTCATATGACACAAGTCTCTCCAAACAGCAACCCCAATAATTTTTACTTGCCGCATCATGCTGTTTTTAAGCCCGACAGCACCACAACAAAGGTTCGCGTTGTGTTTAACGCCTCCAGCCCGTCTTCCAATGGCAAAAGTCTAAATGATCATCCTACACACGGGACCAGTACTCCAATCCGATTTGACGATTCAGATACTAAAGTGGCGATTCTACCGCTACGTTTTCAATGCCGATATAACTAAGATGTATCGGCAAATCCAGGTCGATCCAAGACATACGCCCTACCAACGAATACTATTTCGCAATGAGAACGAAGAACTGTGCGACTTCGAACTCAATACAGTTACCTTTGGGGTAAACTGTGCCCCATACCTCGCAATCCGGGTCCTCCATCAACTTGCTCGTGATATCCGAGAACAATGTCCTATCGCATCCGACATAATTGAAAATTATATGTATGTCGATGATGTTCTAGCAGGGGCACACACGAAGCAACAAGCAATTTCAGCCATTGCAGAACTCCGCATGGCACTCGACAGAGCCGGGTTCCCTCTGAGAAAGTGGACATCCAACACAAAGGAAGTGTTAAAAGGAATACCAAGGGACCACTTACTGTGTGCGGATTTCTTAGAAATCGAAGAGGCCAGCGTCGCTAAAACGCTAGGCATTCGATGGCAAGCCACAACAGACCAGTTTTTCTTTGCTCCGTCCAAAATGGTATCTCAGCCTTCGCTCACTAAACGTGAAGTACTATCACAGATTGCGAAATTGTTCGATCCTGCTGGATGGCTAGCACCTGTGATAGTTCGAGCAAAGATTTTCATGCAAGAGATCTGGCTACAAGAGCTGGGGTGGGATGATTCCCTGCCGGAAGATCTCGTTCAACGTTGGCATGACTTTCTTACCGACTATCCCTCTCTCGAAGAGATCCGTATTCCAAGATGGGTCGATTTTCAGCAAAAGGCAAAGGTGCAGTTTCACGGCTTCTGCGACGCGTCCCAGCGCGCATATGGTGCTGCACTTTATTTGCGCGTCGAGATCAACGGATGCATCTCCACTCACCTTCTCGCAGCAAAAACGAGAGTCGCGCCAGTTAAGACGGTATCACTACCACGCTTAGAACTGTGTGGCGCCGTTCTTCTTTCCGAGCTCACCACGGCTCTTATTCCTCAGCTCCCCATCCAGAGTAGAGAAAATTTCAATTGGACAGACTCCACTATTGTTCTTGCCTGGTTGGATAAACCTCCATGCAAATGGTCTACCTTTGTGGCTAACCGGGTAGCCAAGATAACATCAACCAATGGCAAATGGTCCCATGTTCGATCCGAACATAACCCAGCTGACCTAGCCAGTCGGGGGGTTTCTCCTCGGGACCTATTGGGCAGCACTTTGTGGTGGCATGGACCGGAATGGTTACAACTACCACAAGACCAATGGCCAGTTCCTGTTACGGTACTTGAGACAGAGATTGAACAACGCGCAGTGAAGTGCAATGTCTCACAGCTACCCTCCTATAACCTTCTGGAACGATTCTCCAGATTCGACAAGGCATTGCGAGTTATCGCATATGTCTGTCGCTTTATCCAGCGCTGTAGAAATCCAGCGATCCACTTTCCCGCCGAGCTCCGTAATGAAGAACTTACGAGAGTTCAGTTCCGACTTATCGAGTATACTCAACGCCAAGCTTATCCTAAGGAGTATAGCTGTTTGCTCGATAAGAAGCCAATTCAAGGATCAAGCAGCATTCGCAATTTAACCCCTTTCATCGATCAAAGGGGTATTCTGCGATCCTGTGGACGGGTGAGAGCGTCAACTTCGTTAGGCTACGATGAGCGGCACCCCATAATCATTCCGGCCAATTGTGATTTTTCACGCCTCCTGGTCCGATTTACCCACCTCATTTGTTTTCACGGAGGCAATCAGTTGGTAATGCGCCTCATAAGAGCAAAATACTGGATCCCAAAGCTCAAGGTCCTGGTAAAATCGACCATAAACTCCTGCAAGGTCTGTGTAATACACCGCAGACGACTCCAGACCCAACTTATGGGCGAGCTCCCAAGGGCGAGATCAACCTTTTCCCGACCCTTCACACATACGGGTGTAGACTTTGCCGGACCTTTCGATATTAAAAGCTACATTGGTCGAGCATGCAAAATAACCAAGGGTTATGTCTGTGTCTTCGTTTGTTTCAGCACGAAAGCAATCCATTTAGAAGCCACAACAGATCTAACCACGGAGAGATTCCTGGCCGCATTTTCGCGATTTATCGCAAGACGTGGCCTTCCACAACAGATGTACTCAGATAATGGGAAAACATTTGTGGGAGCGTCATCCGTTCTTTCGAGAGATTTCTTGCAAGCAACCAAAGAACTCATCTTATCCAAGCATAGCCATCAAAACTTGTGTTGGCATTTCAATCCTCCTGGCGCTCCTCACATGGGCGGATTGTGGGAAGCAGGTGTCAAAAGCTTTAAGACCCACTTCTACAAATCCACCACATCCTCAAAATATACATTTGAGGAGTTCGCGACTCTCCTCTCCAAGATTGAAGCCTGCCTTAACTCCAGGCCAATCTCTCCAATGTCGGAAGATCCGACTGATTTATTGGCTCTAAGTCCAGGCCACTTCCTAGTTGGTGGCCCTCTTCTGGCAACTAACGAGCCAGTAATCAAAGAAGACGCTATTTCGATAATTAACCGCTGGCAGCGACTCAAAGCGCTCCACCAGCAATTCTGCTTCCGGTGGAAGAATGAGTATTTAAAAGAGCTCCATAAGCGAAACAAATGGCAGTTCCCTACAAGGGACCTCCAAGTCGGTGATATGGTGGTTATCAAGGAAGATAACCTACCAATAAATGAATGGCGCCTTGGCCGAGTCCAGCTGGCTTGCCCAGGCACAGATGATAAGGTCCGCGTAGTGGACGTGCTTACCGCTCGTGGTGTCATCCGAAGGCCAATAGCCAAATTGGTCCTTCTTCCTACTGAGGCAAATAACACCACCGACTAATCCTTAAAAGCAACTAATCCCTCTTTCAAACAAAACCATCACATAATAACACCTCTCCTACATCTTATTCTCCAGTTCACTCCTCTGTAGAGAACCAGCATGGCACCGTCAACGAAGGCATCCACTCAACGCCAAGGAACGGACTCTTTTAGATGCCGGGTGTGTAGAGGCATCCATGCGCTACGCAAGTGCCAGCGCTTCTTGAAGCTCACGCCCGAGAAGCGTCTCCGAGCCGTTTTAATTAACAAATATTGCTCCAACTGCCTGGCTCATCAGCATTCAGGGGAATCATGTCGCAGTGGAGCCAAGTGCAAAATTTGCAAAAAGGACCACCACACCTTACTCCACATGCGGGATCCCCGGAGCGCTCGACCCTCTCGGTCAGACAACAGGCCCACAAGAAGAGCTTCTGGCTCCTCGCCCTCCAGCGGCACATCACCCCCAAGCCCGAGACGTGCTATCATACGGACGTCGCTTACGTCCCTTCTCCAGCATAAGGGGGTCAGTATACTGCCCACCGCCATAGTGCTGCTCGACACTGGGAAAAAGACCCTTGAGACTCGGGCTCTGATCGATCCATGTTGTTCAGTAAGCCGCATTAATGCAACCGTGGCAAGGGCCTATGGCCTTTCCGTCACACGCATTGGCGCAGAAGGAGCGTGCACAGCCGTGCTACGCTCCAAGACAACTCAGATGTCTCGAGAGGTGGTCTTAATGGCTGACCCGCAACTCAGCTGCATAACTCCAGCCCGAGCTGTCAGAGCGGACATGAAGGACCCGTTTAGCAACGTCGCTTTGGCGGACAACGACTGGTTCCGTCCATCTCCAGTACCTTTGGTACTCGGCGCCGACGTCTACCCAGACATCATCCTACCAGGTATCCTCCCGAGCCAAGGCGGTCTGCCGATGGCTCAAAATACTAAGTTTGGATGGATACTCTCTGGCACATGCACGCAATAGGAATCCTTGCAATCTGCATATTGCCAGGGGGGGAGAATGTTCATGCCAGTTCATTGCTAGTCTGAACACAGCATTGACTGAGCCTCACTCAGTGTGAGAGAGTCACTCAGTGAGACAGACTCACTCACTGAGAGAGACTCACTCACTAATTCCATCCAAGATGCGCTCAGCACTCTCCTTGTGGTCTCCTTTCCACCTCCATAACTCCAACTAGAAAAAATGCAAATCACTTCTAATGTAAAGTTCATTATATGCAAGCCGAAAGTGCCTAATAAAGTGCCACTATTATTATAAAAGACTACTTATTTGACGCCTCCCCCACAAACAGAATACTTGAACTGCAAAAAAAATTTGGTGACCGTGCGTGTGCAAATATTGAAATTAAACCAAATTGAATTTGCATGTGCTAACCTGATTACGCGAAAACGAAGCACAATTTTCGATCGAAAATAAAAGAAAATAGCAAAAATCATATAAAGGAATTTTTTTATCGCATGTTTTTTTTGTCATTGTGAGAGCATACGAAAATGACAAAAAACAGAATAAAACAAGTAAAAGTTTCTAGGCGGGAGCTCCCGACCCTGAACCCTCTTCTTCCGACAGGCGATAGGGATAAAATGAAAAATACTATATATATATATACTACTACATGCCAAGTTTGGTGACTATAGCTCATACTATTTGCCGAAATTGCTCAAAAAACAGGATTTCGATATCGATTTGATCGAATTTTATCGAAACTTGATCTGCGCGGGGAATAGGAGGACCTACAGCTAAAATTTCAAGTCTCTAGCTCTTATAGGTTCTGAGATCCTTGCATTCATACATACGGACAGACGGACGGACGGACCGACGGACAGACGGACAGACAGACAGACGGACATGGCTAGATCGACTCGGCTGTTTATGCTGATCAAGAATATATATTATACCAGTCCTACTACTCATAGCTTTAAATCAAGTAAATAAACCAATTTATGCAGCTCACAATATAAGCCACAATTTAAATGCAATTGACTTTTTGATAATACATGAATATTCTCTAGTACAATATTATGTACTGTGGATAATTTCATCAATATCGGTTAAGAAACACGAAAGAAAATGTGTTTTAGCAGCCCACGTGTTTGCGGCAGCTAGCGCAAATTCCAAGAATTTCTGTATGCATGTACACACACACATTAATGCGTGTTTTCTTTGAATTCTATCAACAGCATTGCAATTGCGATTGTTTTTGTTTTTTTTTCTCAATAATAATTAATAATTGGTGTGGCTGTTGGTTCGAACCCTACCGGGGAAACTGATTTTTTTTTTGGCTGGTGTGGCTGTTGGGTGGAGGCTTCGGCAAGTAGTGCGGTAAGTTGCGAGTTTCAACCCTGCCAAGGGAACTTTTTTTTTTATAATTTATCTTTATTAATACTAAAGCAAGCGAGCGCGTAGCTCGAGCTGTTTTTCGTTTTAGAATAAAAGGGTTCAGGGTATCCCTTAGTCGGGAGCTCCCGACTAGAACCTCTTACTTGTTCATTTTATATAAGGTTCACCGGCTGGAGTAGCGCTACTCTGATTTTAATATTTTATTGCCCATTGTTTTGAAAGTATCTATTGAAATTGATTCTTCTCACTCAGTGCCACTTTGAGTTGGCTGATTTCTAAAATACCGGCTTGTGTTTCATGCCTTTGGAAGAACTTACCTAAGTAGAGAAATCCATTGGTATGCAAATCGTCAACATCAATACTTGCTATAAGTTTATTATCTTGTTTCAATAAACATTTAGATTCAGTTATTCGCAAGGTCACTACTTTCCGTACTTTATTGATAATGACTCCATGTACCATGGGCTTAGATACATGTTAAAGACTCTGCCTTGGCAAAAGTTCTTTATTGTTAACTGTACAGTTTTTATTTTGTCAACTTTGTTGCCTGGTAGTGACTTTCAGGACGTTGTTTTGAATATTCTTTAGTTCGGATATTGTTATCCGCAACAGGGCGTCTGCCACAAAATTATCTTTTTCCTTAAAGTACTCGACCGTAAAATCATATTCTTCCAATCCAAGTCTCATGCGTGTTAATTTTGAGCTGGGGCTTTTAATTAAAAATAAAAATGTAAGTTGTCTGTGATCCGACTTTACTGTGAAATGTTTGCCATATATGTGGTCGAAAATGTGTTGTTGCCCAATAAATAGCAGCTACCTCTTGTTCTGTTCTGCTTTTATTAGTTTCACGCTTTGTGAATGAACATTATCTATGAACGAAGTTGCTTGTTGAGCTCGTTTATACGCTCTTTGCAGCGTTGTCGATCTTCTGTGTGCGTTTTCAATAGGTTAAGCTCAAGACGTCTTTACAGTAGCAGCCGCTTGGTTCGGCTGCCACACTTTTTATATATATGTCAACGGGCGGATAGTGCGTATAATTGTGACCAGCTTGCTTAATTTAATTCACCATAAGTATGTAAAACTGATATTTATTTTAAATTGTTCATCATGAACTGCACACACAACGACGACAACGACCGACAACACCTTTCACGGTCGCCATGTAATATTTGCCTTTTAATATTCAACACTTCTTTTGTCGTACGGAGCGTCTGCTCCGTTCAGCTTCATTATTAATTCTGATTTATTCTTTTATACATGAAACGGACTGAAGCTTAATACATGAGGTTCTTATTCTATGTGTTCTGTATATATGCAAAAGGCAAGAAATTAAGATATATATACGTAGCGTACATGGCTGATCAAGTTATATATATATATATATATATATATACATATGTATATATATATATATATATATATATATATATTTAGTTATGTATTATATATTGCGACGAAGTGTAACAAAGAATATTTTACATAGATACACTACAATATGTCGGGTATACATACTACACAAGATATAAAATAACAAAAAGAAAAATAATTTTCATCAAGAATTTAAATGTGCTTCATTAAATTATATCAAATTTATTAATTATGTAATAAACCCAAAAAAAAAAAATGAAGGTAACGAGCAATAGAACTCTAAGGTGAAGTTATAAAAATCTAAAATGCATTAAATTTATCACCATTTTTATACCCTTGCAGAGGGTATTATCTCCGACCCCATAAAGTTTATATATCCATGATCAGTATATAGCCATGTCCGGCTGTCCGTCTGTCTGTTTCTATGCGATCTAGACTTTTAGTTTTAAAGCTATCTCTATGAAACTGCAGAAAAGCCTCTTCCTGTTGCTGGATCGGACCATTATATAATATAGCTGCCATAGGAAAGATCGGTCGAAAAGTAGGCTCTTGTATCAAAAACATTTTTGTTTATCAAGATATCTTGACCATACTCGTCATTTATTAGTTTTACTACACTCGTCATATATATGCAAAATCCTATCAATATCGGACCACTATATAATATAGCTGCCATAGGAACAATCGGTCGAAAATTAAGTTGTAAGAAAATTTTGTTTGTTTTTCACGATATCTTGACCAAACTCGGCCTTTATTTGTTTTACTATGCTCCTCATATATATGCAAAATCCTATTAAGATCGAACCACTATATCTTATAGCTGCGATAGGAACGATCGGTCGAAAATTAAGTTGTTGTATGGAATTGTTTTTTGTTATTCAAGATATCTTGACCAAACTCGGCATTTATTAGTTTTACTAAGCTCGCAAAATACTATTGAAATCGCACCACTATATCATATAGCTGCCATAGGAACGATCGGTCGAAATTGAGTTGTTATATGGAAAACTTTTTGTTTTTCAAGACATCTTAACCATACTCAGTTAATTAAGTGTCATTAACTATTTTCCCTGTGCTTCTTAGATACGGGAAAGCACTATGAGCATTATGAAAAGGTTAGGTCTGCATGGGTATCTTCCTTCTCGTTTTCTTATAAAAAAGCTAATCGCGATTAATCCTAATCGTCCGATTGAAAAAAAAGCCGGGATATTATATAAAAATGGGTTTGGAACAATCTAATGCAGATGATAACACTGCCAATGTAGTAAACGTGGTACAAGTTGTGGACACCACATCCC